TGTTGTTATTTCGGAATATTTTCAACGTGAAAAGAAAATGAAATATATATGAATCCTTGTATAATAAATAAAAATAAAAAATTATAAAAGATTAGGAGGAATAATAGCAATAAAAAAAAAAAAAGAAAGAAAGAAATATATCTTTTTCTCCCTTTCTACTCTAATGGGATCCAATGCTAATTTATCTGCATCATGGCTATTAATGATCCGAAGCACTCACAACCATTGTCCGTTGAATCCTCCAAGGTAGCTCACTGAGGAATAACAGAAAGTTTATCAAGGGATTGCAAAATCGAGATCGTCGAAGGGCATCGTACGTTCGATTAAAGGAGGAGCAATGAGCTTGATCCATTATCAGACTCTTCCCCCTGAGCTGGAACGAGCGCGTCAATGTCAAATTTAATCGTCCAGCGCTTTAATCATAAAGATAGCGAGGTCGTATTCTCGATGCCTGTCTTTTATTTACACTTACTTTTTTAACAGAGAAGTCATTGTTCCGAGCAAGGACGATGAAAATAAAAAATATTAATTTAATAAATTAATTTAATAAAAAACAAGAAAAAAGGTATAATAAGCGAAGACAAATTGAAACAAGTAGGCAGAAACAATGAGCTGCAGGAATTATCGAAGTGCCTCCTCTTGTGCGTTCGTAGTGTGAAACGCGTTGCGGCCAAATTGCGGACGCGTCTATCGGGTTCAAAATCCGTTTCAGGGTGTCCAATTACTTGGACCTGATGCAGGTGTGGCGCTTCGAGGCTGACCAAAGTATTGAATTCCGTAAAAATAGCTGACGTTCCTCTTTGAACCATTCTCTCTTATTCGTTCCCTTGACTAGCCCTTCTTAACCCTTTGAAATTTCTTTTCTATCTACTTAAACATATATATATATATAAAGAAAACCATGTCGGTTTTAGAGTGATTTTCTTTAGTATATTTAATGTAGTATTTATATTATATATAACACTAGAGATCACAGCTAGCAACATCGGTAGATATATAAAATGATAGGAAAAAGTGGGAGGATAGGTAATGTGAGGAAAATCTTCCACAAAGAAAAATAAAATAAAAAAAATATTCCTTTTGAAATTTTCTTTCTATAGGCTTACATACACTAACTAATTTAATGAAACAACAAATATCTTCTGCTTTCCAAGATCCATTACGCAATAACCGTCCTCTTTAATGGCACCTCGATAACTGCTTTCTCCAAACGACGAAAGTCAATATGCTGGAAATTTCGCGAATTCTAACGGTTTAAAAACTTGTTTTTTTTTTTCGGAGAATCCCATGACTAAACCAACACATTTCAACTTACGAATAATAGTTAGTCCGTCTTTCTTTTTATCCACGTAATTGAACAATATCGTTGTTTATCGTTTTTATCATTTGTTAAATCAACACTGACGACGAAAAAGAATGTAGAAACTCGTCTAGACTAAGGAGAGTAGTCCTTGAATGGCGCCCAGCCATGAAGGTAGGCCACCACCATCATGAAATAAACTTGATTTACGTGCGAATATTGCCAATTAAGCAAACTTAATCAATCGAACTTCAAATAAATAAACAATTAAGAAAAAAAAGAATGTCAATCTCTCGGAAATATTTTGAAATTGGCAAATTACGTGAAAATAATTTCGAGTCTCAAGGAACAATAGACAGAAATTATTTTTAAAAAAACCCTGCCCAAATCGAATAAAATTCGTCGTGCATTCGATTCGTTGATATTTTCAATCTCAATTTATAAATACCTACGGCAGAAAACTGGTTTTCTACTCTTAGAGTTCTTAGTTCTTTTTGTACTTTTTCTTTAGATTTACTATCAATAAACTGTTATAAGTCTCGGACTTTTTGGAAAGGTGGTCACTGTAAAAATAAGCGCGCACGATTCGAGCTTGAGCATTAAATCGATTATCGAATATTCGTAAGGCATCGATTGAAGCCTCCTTTATCGAATTCCTTTCGTCGACGGTGTATTATTAATTAACGATCACGAGCGATCACGATAGTGGTGTATTATACACACCAAGTCGAGTGTTCGAATCGATCGCTAGAACTCGTGCGCAAAAGAGTGTGGGCCTGGATTTTACGAACGAGCGAACAACGCGCACGGAATTCGAGAACGTCGTTGTGCAACAATAAAACCGGAATGTCGGCTCGCTTCGTTGCCCCCGGCAGACGACCAAATTCTCCTCGATCTTCCTCCGAGGACGGAAGAACATTGAAGGAGTATGTATACCTTTGAACGAACATAAATACAAGAAATATACTAAATCAATAACAAATTTATTCATTATTTATTTCTATGATATTCATTATTTCAAATTGATGATTATCTTTTTTTGCTCTTTTAATAAACTTCGCGTACTTCGTGAATTGAAAAAAAAAAGATAAATTACAAAATACTTTCATACATTTTACGAAGTAATATGTCACTTATTATCGAATAAAAAAACTCATAAGAATTCTAAAAGACAAATCTAAGAACAACATTCCTTTGATTAGTAATCAACAGTATTTAAAGATAAGTAAACAGAGAAAAAATGGTTTCGTAGAAAAATGTTAGTAGTTTTACAAAAAGAAAACACTTATTCGCATTACGGTTACACGAATGGAGAACTTAAATCTTCTGCCGTTGGCACGAGACCAACGTTGTACACAAGAAGCCGTCGTATTTTCTGGTGACAGATAAACGATGTGAGGTTGCAGGTGGAAGACATGCGGGCAAGGCATAGCAGTGCAATCGTGCGCTGCATTATCGCTTGAGCAATCGAAGCTTCGCGTCAATTTATGTCGCTATTTTTATTTTTTCATTTACTTTTTCTTTTCTTTTCAGATCGAAACAACAGCGGCGGCGAAGGATAGTCCGCTTTCCTGGCACATCCCAAGGCCGTCCTTAGGATGTCCCAAGGCTGGGCGAACTGAAAAAGATAGCGAAAATGGAAGCTGGGCGCATCACCACAACCATCATCATCATCATCATCATTTGCATCCTGATTCTCCTTCGAGAGGATCTACTTCATCTCAGGGATCAACCGCCAGTACACACGTTAGTATTTTTTTTCCATTACTATAATTCTTTGAAATTATTTTTCTTTTAAAATAGATAAATTTTTCTTCAGTGTGGTTATATACTATTTTTATTACGATCTTTCCGGGCACGATAAAGGTTTAATCGTGATATTAAAAAAGATTCTATTGAACGCTTCCTACTGGAAATAAACAAGCGTTGTAAATGTCTAACGATTATCTTCCATATCTTAATGAAGTCATTAAACCTATTATTTCTCTCACAATCAGTTACTTTCACTAACTAACGCAAATGTTAATCAGCTCTATAAATTAAAACTTTTACTTTTTCGATTATCGTTGAAAGAAGATCGAATTTCTGTTTTGTTTGTACAGAGCGCAGCATCGGGAACTTTACTTCTAACAGCCGCCAATTTGGCTAATCTCGCAGCGATGCATCCGCCAACGGTAACAACACCCAAACAAATAGATACTGCATCGGTAGCAAGCAGTACGCATTTTACGGTTGTAAACGGCCTCGGCAGACCTACCACCGTCTACAGGAAGTCCTGGTGTGCGAGGAATCAGCTCACCGTACTTGTGTGCACAATGAGCTTCCTATTCATGGTCGGCCTTTTAGCAGGAATCCTCTTCATGGAAAGTGAGTGTCCTTTTGTAACCAACTGTTGTCTCATTATCAATCTAAACGAATCTTCATGAGAAACAGCATTCGAGAATTTCTCTGGTATTATTTTTTCTGATTATAGTGAGGGCTCGCGACAAATACAATTAGGCCGAGATCAAGAAATCGAACGGAGAGAAGGGAAGAGAAGAGCGAACGTGTCTTTGGAGTCCTCGCGATAGCACATAAACAACATACGTCGTGGCAAGATCGAACTTTCTTAGAAGAGATGTAGAAAAGGAAGAAGAAAAGAATAATATGAGAGAAACAACATGGAAGGATCGTGTTCCCGATGATAATCAACGACTACAATCTGCTACACGAGTCACGAAGAAGAAAGTCCCTGTTTAATTTCGTATTTATATAAGCGCGAGTCTTGTTAAACGCGTTCTTAATGATTTGAGACAATTCGCTGGAGAGATAGAATTTTAAGGCTGTATTGCACATTGTCAAAAAGTGTGGTACGTGAATCCCAGTAATTACATTTGTGTAATAAATAACCGACTTTGTCAAGCGAGCTAGTACGGCTGATAGTAATAACGAAAAAACCCTCGCCTTGTGAACAATTGTATTATATTTATGATATTGACTAATGAACCCCCTAGATCGTCGTCCAAATTTCGAATCGTAATCACGAGATAAAATCCAAAAGTATGTGTAAGACAAACGAAAAGAAAAATATGAAAATTCTTATGATCTAATTATGATCGTACGATTTTTGGAATTTTTGTCTTTTTTTAATCTTGATTTCTAGTCGTTGATTAAAACGGTTCTCGAACAATTTAACGTACGTTGTATAAATTGTATCGATGTCCTCGTTCTAAATCCACGATAAAGATTCTCTTTTAAGTTAATAGAAATTTGAATTTGGTAATATATCGAATAAACATATGACAACGACGATAAAGAATATTAATATTTAGGAACTCGTAATTTAATTCATACTAACACAAAACGCCTTAAATCAAACCTGGACAATTTCGTCGTGCGATGTCGTTCCAGGATATCAATATGTTGGAAAAGCAATGAAGAGTGATCGCGTCGATCGCCCTTCACGACTGTGATATTACTTGCGTATTAAATAATCATCAATTCAACAAGAAACTGTTAGAACCTAAACACCGTATTTCATTTATATCCTTAATATCCTTATTTCCTTTGAATAAAGATGCTCCAGGATAGTCAATCACTCTTCAATCAAAGGTAAGTAGATATTATGTTATGTTGTAAATAAAGTTGCCATACAGTTAATACAATTTTTATGGGTTAAAAGAAATGTATTAGAATATTTTAGATTTGTTCAAAAACTTACTTCGACTTCCTGAAGAGTTTGCGTCCACCTGTAGTTTGGCATATCTGCACCGTTACCGTAGTTAGGCCTTAGTTTATTTTTTTCTTTCTCATCTTCTTCATCATCATCATCATCGATTTCTTTATTCTCTTTCTTTAAATCACCGTCAGCATTAACACCACTAGTTCCAGGAACAGCAGTTGCTTCTTTAGATATCTTCTACATAAAGAACGATAATTATCTACTATATCAATTACAATAATTACATATACTTAATAAATAAATATCAAGTACTTACTTTTTTATCTATCTCTTGTTGCAATTTAACCGCTTGCTCATCCGTCAATTCAACTATTCTAGAATCCATATCCATTTGTTCTTCTAATTTTTCTTCTTCCTTCTTTTTCTCCAACTTTTCTTTCGATATTCTTTCTAATTCTGCGCGTTTAGCTTTCTTCGCAGCAGCTTTCTCTAAAGCAATTGCTTCATACTTTTTGAATTTTCCGGTAATAAGCTATAGAAATTCATATTATATAATATAAGTATGTTTAAATAAATCACTCATGATTTTAATTGTTGTAAAGGAGAAATTATTATATTATTTATAGATTTATAGATTATAAATACAGTAGAACCCTGATAATTGAAACACTCTATTAAACTAATGTTTTTCCATCAGAGCATTTTATCAATCACACAATTTCCTTGAGTGTTAAATAGTCGTTCGACGTCGTATAGTCAACGAATAGTGTTGTTCTGCTATTCTATATTTTTATTATCTGAATATTTTATATTCCTATTATGAAGGTATTTCCTATTTGTTCAGTAATCCCCCCTATAACACGGTATATTCGTTCCGCGTTACACGAGCATTCTCGTAAAACACGCGCTCGTATAACCTCGTATAACGCGTTATGTACAAATGATTCACGTTTAACTTTTCTCGTTAAAGAAATATTAAGGAAAAACTATGTTATGAACGAAATTTGTGCATTTTATTAAAATCAAACTCTAAAAACATTTTCAATAAAGAACTTATACTTATGCAACTAAAAAATAGTTAATTTCGAATAATTAACTATTATAAGAAATAATTCCAAAAACAGTTTTATTACATGTTTATTCGCTGTCGGAGCTATCTGAAATAACGAAATAACAAATTTAATAAAATAATTTAATTTAATTTTATAAGAACACAATTGACACAATGTGCAAACGTACGCGAAATTGATTGTGAACTGTACAACTCATTATAAATTTCGCAGTATAGAAATAAAAAGTAAACACGTGTTATACGAGGGACGTAAAATCGCGTTATAAAAGTACCGTGTTATAGGGAGATTACAGTACATACAATATTGATTCCAGAAAGATCGAGAATATTCGATAAAAAAAATTATCTTTAAAGGAAAAATATACCTTTTCAGCTGCACCTTCGCCACCTCCAGTATAAAAATCTGTTTTCCTTTCCAAAAAACTAAAGATTGTTTCTAACAGCTGAAAATCGAAACAAAATTTTGTTAGGAAGAAGCAAAGACAGATAGAATAAACATTTCAAAAAAATTAAGTGATGTTTTTGTAACAAGACATAACCTCAACCGGTAAGTCACTTACGTCTTTAACACCACCTTCGTGTTGTTGAGCAATAGCTAACAACATTGCATCGAATTTCGCTTCGTTTTCGGACATCCTGTTATATATTTTAAAATCTGTAGAATATATTTATCGAGAAAGAAATTACAAACTTCCAAGACGAAAAAATCACTAAGCTGCAATATATTTTTTCGACACGTTTCTATCGTTTCTTCGACTAATACGTTTATGCGCATGTGCAGAAATATATTTCATTGTTATTGGTCGAAATTGTCGCATTGAGTTAGACACCTATATTAATAAGCACCGTCGATATTGTCACAAATATTAATTTACGAAAATGATCTTATTTTTCATTTGTAAAATTGTACTTTTATTCAAAAATTTATTTTAATTATATTATTTATAAAAAAATTTGTTTGTATTTCAAAATAAACCAGATTGAAAAATAATAATCTGCAGTTATCGACCAAACAAACTCTGCTTCGATATACTATTGGCGACCTCTATCGAGATGCGAGATTTCTACGATTTCTACGATTTCTATTGTGGGTTGCATATCGACAGGCGCAATATCGAATATTTTGAACACAGGTAATATTTTAAAATATGTAAAAAATTAAATCATTAAATTATTACTTTCATGTATGATTTGAAATGAGATACGATTGTCAATTATTCTAAATTGTATTATAATCCAATCAAGAAGTATGTCTTATATGAAAAATTATTTTAATGCAAGTAACATCATGTGTATCATAAGAATTTGAAATAATGGCATATGATAGAGCTGAAAGATTTCCAAAATTAATTACACAGACTTCTACATTCGTTGGTCCTGGAACTTATGATGAATCATATATATCAAAACCACCACGTGATTTAGGTAACACGTAATCATACGATATTAAAACTTCAATTTGTTATAAATTATTATAACATTATATATTATTATATGTTATATATAATAATATATAATAACGTTATATATTATTATAATATTATATTTCAGATGGTCGATATCCATTTTTAAGTGGCACGCGGAGACAAACTGTGATTGCATCGAAAGATGCAATTCTTTTTCCAGGACCTGGTTCATACAATCCAATAGAACCACAATGGCACATTCCAGAACGTAGAATCGTTATCAATGTTCAGATTTAAATTTCACCTTATTCATTTAAAATGAATTTTATAAATTGTAGGGAGGTGTCAGCATCGATTACACTGATGCCAGATTTAAAGAAAAAATTTACGAAGGACCAGGTCCAACGAAATACGATTTACCAGATGATCTATTCAAAGAAATACCGAAGAAGATTAGATCACATCCTGACATTTGGAATAGACCAGTTGGAAAAGTAAAATGTTTTTTTAATTCGTTCATATTCTTGACGTTTATCAGGGTCATTATCTTTTCAGCTGTGGTTAATAAAACCACCACGTTCTATCATAACTTCTGGAATATCCGTACCTTCGAAACGTGACGTTTACGGTTACGATATTAATGAGGATGGAATTCTTATTAAAATTTTAACATTCAAAGATGAACCAACTTTCATATATGAAATTCCAAAGGGAGTAATAACGATTTCTACAATAATATCATAATATCAAATGTATATACAAACTTTATTTCATTTTCTATACGTAGGAAGAAAATTTTGCTACTCTTAGATATAAAGGAAACTTTTGGAGTAGAATGACTGGAAGGGAAGAGAAAAGACCCTTCGTAACGCCAGGACCAGGGGACTACGAACATGAAACAAAAAAGACTCTTACACAAATTTACGATGAAAAGTTTAGGGAAATAAAAAGGGCTACGTCAAGACAACCACGATACCTCGAAGCGATGTTCAGACGAAAATTACGAGAAGTTCATTTATTTCTTAAACGATTTATCTTCTCTTCCACAAACATAATAGTAAGAAAATATAATTTTTATTAAAGGGATTACCAGGACCAAATCATTATGATCCACCTAAAAGTACCTTTGACAAATATAAAAAAATTAATTGTAAATGCAACAAATATACCATAGAATCTCCACCTTTCAATCAAACTGCTGAGGTAAATAGAAATGTTTAAAAATTTGTGAATATTTTATTTCAAATTAATTTAATTTGCTCCAGAGATTCGAACATACAAAATCTATAGATATTCCTGGTCCAGGAACGTACGATAGCAAAAGTCCAAAAAATTGTTTTACTCATTTACGTAGAGCACCATTTGGAAGTCTCATTTCTCGCTTAAGAAAGGATACTGACAATTCGAGTCCAGGTTACGTAGTTAATTTTTTTCCAAATATATTCAATGATTGTATGAAATTTATTAACCGATTTAATGTATTTCTAGAACCTGGTAGATATCACATAGTAGCAGGAAATATTTCTTATGAATCCATAAAACGTCTCAAATATCATTACAAAAGGCCAACACCTTATTCATTTCCGAAAAATATTGTGACTCCTTATAATAAAAAAGAACTAATTGAAGAGAGACAAGAAGTAAAGCATGAGAACTTTAAAAAAAGTTACGAGTATCATGCTGTTTTTAAATCAAGGACAGAAAGATTTCGTAAGATCCTTAAAGGGGTAAGAAAATTTATACACGAATCTAATAAAAAATATTTTTTTCAAAACAATCAAGTCTAATGTTTTAATCTAAGAGATGTCATTGGTAATACGATTTTCATGCTGGTAATGTTTTAACAGCAAGGAGAAGTAGAGAAAGAAAGATTCTGTAGGTAGTAGTAAGAGTAAATCGATGGTCAGACGTAACATCAAGGATTCTTTCGGTAGAAACTGGAGACTCTGGGTAAAGCCAAGTAATCCTCAAAGCGCAAGGTAATCAGGAGAACCCGAGACGAAATTAATGGCAACGGATCGAAGCGTTGCATCTGTACTCGAGGCTGTTCGTAGTCAGGATCCAATTTGGCCGTTAATCGAGAGAGAGAGAGAGAGAGAGAGAGAGAGAGAGAGAAAGAGAGTTTGTGAGAGAGCATTGGAACGGGATTCGATGGCTCAACCATATATAGGCTTGCCTAGAATGGTCAAAGCTATTCGAACAGTTCCTGCTTCCGCCTATACGAGATACATTTCCGATCACGTTCGAAACATTTATATTTTTCATCTACGTCTATACTCCAACGTGCTAGTTCTCGTCCCACGCTCATCAATTATTTTATATCCTTTTTCTTATAGAAAAGTCAGCACACGTAGAAAGAAATTAATTACGTGTCATTAATTTTCTAGAAAACATTATAAAATTGATTAGGTTCTAACCGATAGAAAAATAAGTGTCCAATATAATCGAGTCGCTAAATAAAATCATCTAGAGCATGGGGAGGATGATGTATATTTAAATACGATCGATGAAGCAAAGAGAAACATCCAGTCGCATAACTCTCTAGTCTTCGTTTGAGCGAGGAATTCGCGAGGATGACCAGTAGTAGTTCTGCTTTCGACGAAGTCATATTTACATAACGTAGGGAAGCATCGTAACTCTGTGATCCCCCGGAAATGACGTTCCAGCGTGCTCGGGGGGTCATTTCCACGCATAGTCCGTGAGGCTGCCGATGTAGTCCGGTGAAATCACTTCCGGCTCGTTGAACCGGAAATTCGAGCCAATCCCTGCCTCTCTCTCTCTCTCTCTCTCTCTCTCTTGCAGTCTATAGTCAAAACGTAAATTGCGGGTAGTCCAAAACATCGTTTATTTTGGTATTTGTTCTTCGTCACAAGAGACTATCACCAGGTTGAAGAGAATAGAGTTGGACCAATCGTGCTATCGAATAGTCTTTGTTTTAATTAAATCAATACCAAAATTAAAGTTTGTCCACCTTAGATAGAAATTTCTTGTAAATTGCATTTTTACTATTCTCTTTCTTTTTCTTTTTTTTCTTACTTTTGTAGATCGATGCGCCGGATCCTGGAGCTTACGAAGTTTTAACCTCCTTCAAGGCTAATCGTGATCGATGCGACTTCCTTTGCCGACGTTTGGCTCCACCTTTCCTTTCGAGGGCTCGTCGTGTTCTCGAGATTACCAAAGGAATCGATATGACAGTTCCAGGTATTAAGTTCTATCATCCCTATATTCCTATAAATTTTATTCATAATTATTCCAACACATTACTTTCAATTGAACACGGAAATCGATGAAAAGTCTATTTATAAGCTACCGGTCAATTAACGCTGGAAATATGTGTTAAGAGAGCTAAATTATTTCATTATTTTCTTTTAATTCTCTTTTTCTTTTTTACTCTTCTTCACTCCTCAAAACAATATTTTCAAATCATAGTTAATGTAAGATGTAGGATAGCATAATTTTCTTAGACGTGTTATAACTCCTCCATTATTCATCCTATCATCTTAATTCATGGACTCTGTCAATTCAAACAGGCTTCTTGCACGAACCAAGAAGCAATATCGAGCCAGGACAATGCCTTGATTTTCATACTTTTTGTGTCTAGCTCCGACACATTATACCATCTCGTATGACATATCAAAAGGAATCAAGGGAGGTGTGATACCGTATTCACATCGTGATAAGGAGAAGAAAAAGAAGATACCTGGTCCCCAGGAGTATTGTGTAAGGATTTCTTTCTTAAGATTCCATTTTCAGATATTTTTTATTTTCCATTTCTTGTGGACTATCGTTGTGATTTACATTGAAACGTTACAAGAAATACCTTTTTCTATTTAATTGCGTTTGCAGATAAATCCTTATATCGATTCCTCCGTGCTAAAGAAATCTTTCAATGTTACTTTGGGTAAAACTAAATTAATTGGAGAGAAGAAAAAAGTGAAAAATCGTTTACACCCTTGTTCGTCGAAGAAAACTCTCAGATGGTTCACCACGCCTATCGAGGATTATCGACATTGTTCTGTAACGTGTTTGACAATGCCGTGATTCACGATGTTTGAAAATACAAATTCTAAATTCGAAATTTTAGTTTAAGGGAGGAAAGAAATTGAAATAAAAATTCAGGTTCTTTGAGTTAAGAATTTGGAATCAATCGTATAATACACAAAGTCGTATTTACTTTGTAGGAACATGCTAGGATATTGCGTGCTTATGGCACGCGAGAATAATGTCGGATACTTCAGATAGTGATATATGAGGTACGGCTATGTTCCATGAGATGACTAGCTGGCTAGCATCCCGTATTTCCATAATATTCCTGTGTAAAACGGGAACATGCGTTGCTGAAAGCGGCATAAATGAAAATCTTCCATCACATGTCATTACGTGTTGTTGCGTTCCGTCGTTGTTAACTTGCATATTTTTTTTTAGACTATTTTTTCCGTTTTACACATATATATATATATATATATATTTTTTATTTTTTTATTTTTCGTAGACGTAAATTCAACACACGGACGAAAAATTACAAATATCCTCCTATTTATTTTCGTTTTACGAGTAAAAACGTGAAAAATGGTTGAGTTAAAAATCAACATGTGTGTATCTTTTGGCGTAAACAAAATTCGATAAAATATAAGTTGCATTACTATTTCGTATTTTTGTTAGTTTGATAAACAATTAGTTATCATGCCGAACGAAGCGTATGAAACTTCGATGTTTTTATCCGATCTTTTAGAAATATCGATTGGAAGCCCCCTATTTAACTTCCGGTACAGTGTTAACAATTAAAGATCGACGAGTTTTAACCACAAGATACCCATAATCAGTCACTTCTTGACAAGGGTTCGTAACAAAGAATACGCTTGGTTGTAACCTATCGTTTCTAAAGAGAGTTCCCTTATAAAAGGAAATAGACCTTGACTCGGATCAATACTACCAAGGGTTCCAATGACATACTTCGATATGATATCACATCTACATTAATTTATACTTTATATCTCTTGCACTTAAAACTATGTATTTTCTACTTTGAAGTATTTATTAATATATTTTTTTTCTGAAACTGACAAAAAAGGTCAAGTTCTCAATTAGTTCGAGCATAAAATAGCTTTGTATTATTTTTTGTTATCATTTTTTACGAGTTAAAGTCCATGAGTATGCATTGAAACTTTGCCAAAGAAAGATAGCTTTGTTTCCTGTTATTTTTTTGTCGCGAATATAATATAAGAATAAATATAATATAATTTACGTATTGAAAGAAAAATGTGGCCGTTCCAAGATGTCGATTATGCTTTATTGTTTAATTTATTTTCTAAATTATTATTTCTCTCGTTAAATGACGACGTTATGAATTCGGTTGATTTTAATTCGGTTACAGAATTTAATTTTCCATTGTACCAAATAAATGTGACTAACGCCTTAATAGTTAACATGTTTCCGGATCAATTTCATTTCGGTGTTTCTACGTCGGCTTATCAAACAGAAGGTGCTTGGAATGAAGATGGTAAAGTCATATATTTTTTGCGAAGAATAGCATTCACATATTCACACACATACACACACACACACAAATTCACGAATGATATTTTTATTTCACAATATCAGGAAAAGGAGAATCTGTTTGGGATCACATGACACATTCAAATCCTAATCTCATTCGTGATCGAAGCAACGCCGACATTGCTGCTGATTCTTATCATCATTATAAAACGGATATAAATATTGCGAAACAAATAGGCGTGAGTGATGAATTGTATTTAATACGATAAGTTTAATGTGATGCTATTTAATTATTTCTTGTTTTCTCTAGAGTAAAATGTATAAAATTTCAATATCATGGCCAAGAATTTTCCCAGACGGTTTACATAGTCGTATAAATACGGACGGTATTCGACATTACGATAAACTTATCAATGAAATTATTACACATGGAATGGTACCGATGGTGACTCTTTTTCATTGGGACATGCCCTATACTTTGCAAAAAATAGGTGGATTATCCAATCCATTGATCATAGATTTTCTCATTCAATACGCCTGGGTTGCTTTTGATGCGTTTGGTGATCGAGTACGTATCATCTATTCATTTTATTTTTAACCTAATCATTCTTGTGAACTATAACAATGCAAGATTATAATTTGTTTGCTTGTTTATTTGTTTAATTCAGGTAAAATATTGGGTTACAATAAACGAACCATCCGTCATATGTCAATATGGTTATGGCGATGATGCAATGATACCTACAGTAAATTTATCAGGAAAAGCTGATTATATTTGTGGTCATAATCTATTATTAGCTCATGCTAACATATATGAATTTTATCAAAAACATTTTAACGATGTTCAGAAAGGTAAGCCATTAGATAGAGCTTAATTATTATTATCTATTTCCTTGTGATATTTTTTTACGATGTATATGTATGTGTATATCACTTCACTATCAGTAGTATTAGTCATGCAAATAAACAAGTCGATTATTTTTGAAGTTAGTTACTAGTTTCACTTTTCCGAACGTTCAATTAAAGAACGTGACAATAATAAGTATTGCATTTTTAGGTAACGTTGGTATTGTTCTCAATTTGAAATGGTTTGAACCAGAGAATCCAAGGAATGTCGAAGATCAGTTAGCTGCGGAAAGAGCTTTCCAATGGTGGAATGGATGGTTCCTTCATCCGTTGTTTAGCGAACAGGGTGATTATCCCGAAATGATGAAGACTGTAATTAGCAATAATAGCTTTTCCGAACATTTAAATTCGCGTTTACCAAATTTCGAGTTTTACGAATTGCAACAGGTTAAAAACTCCGCTGATTTTCTTGGTATTAGTTTCGACAGAAATACTTTAGTACGTGGTTCTAAGCTTAATTCTAATGATACATTTTTCCAAAACGATGCTCAAATAACAGTATCATCTATGCAACTACAAGAACAAAATTATAATAATGTAAGTATGATTAAATAGATATCTCAATTAATTTATTGAATTATTTTTCTTATGATTTTGTGAATAATTCAGATCAAGCCGCAGACACTTGCGAATCTCTTAAATCGTATAGATCTTAATTACGAATTACCACCAATCATTATAACCGAAATTGGCTATCAGGACGATGGAAAAATCAAAGACTTAGATAGAAGTGTCTACCATCACGAACACTTATCTATAGTTTTACAAGTTATGAAAAATGGTATCGACATTCGGGGATATCTAGTTCGTTCTTTCATCGACAGCTTTGAGTGGATGATGGGTTATACGTGAGTGTTTCCTTTATTTTAACTCTTACTTTTGATCTAATTATAGTACAAACTAATGTTATTAACTTTCTTTGACAGAGTTAAATCTGGTATATTTAGTGTGGACTTTGCTGACAAAAATCGTACACGACGACCACGAGTATCGGCTTTGGTTATAAATGACGTTTATAAGAACAAGCTTATTCGAACGTTGAAAGATATTTATGGCTCAGATATTCGAAAGATATGAATCTTTTAACATCGCATAATTGTAAAATAATTTAATTTTAATTATAAATGTATAATATCATACATTTAAGACGAGCAAGAAATAGTTTCTTTAAATAATAACAAATATTATTTGTTATATTTGTTCTTAAATATTCGGATTTTTCTTTTTTCATTTCTACGATAGATTTGATTGACGCAATTAAATCAGACATCAATCAAATTGGACATTTTTTTTTTATTAATTCAGATCACACCCTCGAAGTTGGAGATCTCCGTCATCGTACGTTTAGAATGGCATCAACTACGACGTAGTCAACCTGCTAATTTCCTCGCGTAATCGTCGCGCTCGGGTTGCCGAGAAGCAATTCTACAGATTCTTGCCTCCGAGGAATTTTCCTTTGATCGTTTCACGAACGTCACTCTAACGAGAGTGACGACGGATACGACGGATAGCTCTCAACGTAGCAGCATCCGCGAATGGTTCCGTGTAGTCCTTTGAAATGATTACATTTTATACCTCGTGTCGTGAAAACGACGTTTACGTCATGCTCCAACTATGAAGCCTACACTAACTCACAGATTTTTAATTATAAAACTAATACAAATTTATATAAATTTTCTAATTTTTACAATCAATAGATGAAAGTTAACATGAATTGGTCTTACAAATTAACAAGAGAAAATAACTAAAAAACTGTATAAATGTTCCTGTTAAAAATGCATGTAATTAATAGAAACAAAATAGATACATAATTTTATAAGTATCCTATTATAGGAGCAATCATGTAGCATGGTTAAACAATTTTCATGTTGACGTTAGTTAGTGGCATAAAGGGATTTCGCGTACTCCATTAGTCGGTATCTATCTCGAATCTGGTGCTGATAATGTGGCCGTAGGAAACTAGTGACGAGGACGACATTACTACCTTCGCATCCCTATGTCGTCGGACAGAACCGAGGGTATCAATCAGTGGTACATGAAAGGGGCGCGGTTTGACTACGTCTGTCGTAGGATCTCGTATTGTCTGCTTTGGACAGATAGACAGCTTCTGTGCATCAAGTTCCTACGTACTATTCCTATCTGATCGAGCTTCCTGTTACTGAAAGTACTGTCGCATTCGCTTTCTCTCACCATTTCTTCTTATTTCTCTCTCCCTCTCCATCTCTTTCTATCTTTCTATCTTTTTCTTTCTCTAAACGTTCAGCATCCCTATCTACAAGGGACGTTTCTTCGTGTAAAAGACATGTACTTCCTACTAACATGTTCCAAGAAAGTACGCTTGGCACTGATGGATACGCTTGCGAATTGCTTCCTCGACAATTGTGAAACGGAGTTTTACTTTAAACTCCCGGACATAACAATCTTAGTCTCGTTTGATTTACTTACCTACTAGCTCTAATCTTAGAATTCCGAACAAGAGAATTAAGTCGTTTCGCCCTACTTTATTTTCATTTTATTTTCTTTCTTTTTTTTTTTTAGAGAAAATAATACATTTTTTATTGAAAAAAAAAGAAACACAAATTATTTTCTACAACAATATCTTACAATTAGATTATTATACGTAAGTTCTTGCTAAGTCT